TCTCTCGGACGAGACCTGAATGCATCCGAACAAGTGATATTTTTAACCCGTTGATGCGCTGGTGAAAGTGCTGTGTCAGGGTAGGACCTAAACCGGACATAGTCGATACTCTAAGTGGCTTGTCTGAAAATTCATACCCAGACTGTAAAAGAGTCGACGATGTAGTTGAGAAAAGGGAATATAGTCTTTACAGGATTTAGGGCAGGGGGGGGGGAGTAGGGCAGCTGTGGCTGTCAGTAGGTTTTCAGTAGGCGGGGGTGAGTCGGTTGTCTTTGTGAAGGGTGACCTCAGTGTCCATAAAGTTAACCGATATTTCCAAGACCTGTGAGGTGAATTTAATGGTGGGGTGAAAAGAGCCAAAAACCAAGTTGAAAGTTGATGAATGGGTCAAGTTCGCTCCTCTCCACAGTGGTCATCCTAATACCACCATTAATGTGCCGTGTGTAAATTCAAGGAGGCGTTCAGTGAAGCAACACTTAAATAAGTGTGTTGGGGGGGCGCACTTTGAACACTTCGCCCCGAGCAGCATTACGTTAAGGTACACGATGATATACAGTGGACAGAGAGTACGTTAAGCGCGTCTTATTGGTGCAATGTATTCCGTAGATCACTTGGTCAGCATTGATGACGTCATGATATACACAACTTTATCTGGACACCCTTCCATAGGTCAGCCTTGAAGACGACACCGCATTTTTATATGTTCATCCGTGGATGGTCAGCATTGATGACGTCAACACAATAGAATTTATACGTACGGATTGATTTCTAATATCAACTCAAGCTGATGTGATTCGAGACTTTGAGTTACAGACGTTAACACCTTTATGCCTCAGACAAGCGTGAAATCCTTCGGAGATTCTTTAACAAATAGGTTGACGAGTCAGCCAGTTCTGGTGCACAATCTTTATTCTTCACATTTCTATTTCCACCGAGGTTCTCTAACAAATTCTTTGATCATTAAGTCACCGCGTCACTGCGCTATAAACATAACGCATCTTCTTTGACCCAGCAAATAAAATATAAAACACAGAGAAATATAAATAATTAATGACCAGGTAGGAACATCCCCAGGATGGATGTGTGTCATTAGCCGCTCGGTATTAAAAAAAAAAAAATGTTTCAAAACGCCCTGGTCTATTAAATAAATTATTAAACATAATTAAATACATCAAAGTTGTTTCTCTACCGCAAATGTGATAAGTGTCTCCCCCCCCCCCAACCCCTACAATGTTTTTCCTTGTCTTTTACGAAAAAAAAAAAAAATATTTCAAAAACCCCCGGTCTAATAAATAAATTATTAAACATAATTAAATACATCCAAGTTGTTTCCCTACCGCAAATGTGATAAGTGTCTCCCCCCCCCCCCAACCCCTACAATGTTTTTCCTTGTCTTTTACGCGTGCACCAAAAAATAAAAAGGAAAGATAGCTCACCAAATTAACGATACACTCGCAAATCCCCCACGACTAATTTTTTACCCAGGCCAAACAAAAGGTTTGGAGAGTATTGAGTTGAAACATGTATTTTTTTTTTATATAAGAGTCCCGGGGTTTATATAAGAGACCCGGGGCACGGGATCACTTTACGATGTGCACCATACAGGAATGAAAAACAAACCAAGCAAAAGATCGCGGATGCTAATTGCGTTACATTCGATCGTACGAGGCCATCTGACCAGCCCACTTTTGTTTTAACAGCCAAATGAATTACACGAGTGCTAGGACGTCATGCCACAAGCGATCCGGTCTAACAAGTGGGATTCGTTAATGAGTTTATGGATTCGAGTACGAGGAATCGGGGAGCAATTTTAAATTATTACTTTTTATTTTTTTATATTTTTTTAACATTCGCAATTGATGCTTTGAATAAGTTCTGTTAATTAATTTAGCAGAACCAAGATCTATAAATTAAGCCCATGACGCAAAGATTGACAAGTGACAAACAAGACAGGGTAAAGAAATTTCGTAATTGACATAATTGAAGGAAATGAAGAGTTTGAATGAAAGTAATTGGAAGCAGGATCTATAGACAGGGCGAATTTCTGGCCCCGAATAAATATCTTACGTGAGACGCGATCGCGTTTGCACCGGGGCCAAGTAAACCAATGACAAGAAATAAAACAGAAAATAAAAACAAGGGTTTAGTTAATTTAAAAAAATATATAAAAAGTATATATATATATTTTAGTAACGGGTCTGTAGATCAAAACCACCAGTCCGGGTAAATATTTGACGCGCATCAGGTGGAGACAATCCAACAATAAAACCAGTCCGGAGTTGACGGGATTTCATGGTTCATGGTCGGAGGGCAGTTTGCACCGACAGAAATAGCGACAATAGCGAGATAGAAGTAGACGCATGCCACATAAAATAAATATGAACGCTCAGAGATAGAGAACTGTGTCCGTGAGACGCACGCACACACAGACACACCATCGACATGGACGTCCTGCCCAACGTGACCACTGATGACGGCACCGCAGCCGCCAGCGGTTCTGATGCTGTGGCGGGGCCAGACCACAACGTGATCCTGCTCATTATGTTCATCAACCACGCAGTGAGCGGGGTCATCGCAGTGCTGGGGATCGCTGCCAACGTCATCAACGTCGTTATTTTCTACAGGCAAGGTAAGGCGCCTTGAGCACGCAGGGCCATGAGACGGTAAGGTGTATCCATGGATATGACATGGTAGGGTGTATCCATGAACGTGACAGGGTAAGATGTATCCATGAATCTGACAGGGGAAAGATGTATCCGTGAATATGACAAGTTAAGATATATACATGAATATGACAGGGTAAGAAATATCCATGAATATTACAAGTTAAGATAAATCCATGAATATGACAGGGTAAGATATACCCATGAATGTGACACGGTAAGATATATCCATGAAAACGACAGGGTAAGATATATCTAAAAACTGGATCAGGTAAGGTAAACACGCGAATCCAAAGGGTAATTTATACTGAAGAACATGACAGGATAAGTTATGTAGGGACAATTAAAAGAAAAAACAGTGACGGGGTAAGCTTGACACGCGACCATCATAATGTGATTAGGGCAAATGTGATCACATGACTATGACGAGGTAAAATATGCACACATGGTGCTGACACATTAAACTAGTTACAAGACAATGCCAAGGTAAGACGATTACAGCGGATGCAGTCGCCCCTCGCCACTTTGCGCTTCGACTTTCACGGCTTCTCTGGATCGCATTTTTTCTTTTCAAATGTAACACGTAGTCATTAAAAGGCTGAAATAGATAGTGAAAATGATGCAGCTCGCGCTCGGTAGTCCGAGTCTATTATTCACCCCTGTACTACAATGAAAACTACTGTACGTGTGAACTACAGGCAGATGTATTAGAGCATACTTCTATCATATACCCCCACAGTTGTAGTTAAGTTTGTAGACAAAAATAGCTATAGTTATAGACATAACCTAACTTAAATAGATAGTGAAAATTATGCAGCCCGCGCTCGGTAGTCCGAGTCTATTATTCACCCCTGTACTACAATGAAAACTACCGTACGTGTGAACTACAGGCAGATGTATTCGAGCATTCCCCCCCCCCCCGCCCCCGCTTTAGACGTTTAAATAATGAAAACAACCATATTTAGAGGGTCGTGAACAGGTGTTCTATGCTCTATTGATGAAAATAAATGATTTATAAGTAAAGAATCCTAAAGTAAAGAATGAACGAGAGACGACAGTATAGTAGACTACATATGTGCAGCTCATGTGCCCACGCGATGAACCAGGGACGACAGTATAGTAGACTACGTATGTGCAGCTCATGTGGTAGAGTAGACTACATATGTGCAGCTCATGTGCCCACGCGATGAACGAGGGACGACAGTATAGTAGACTACATATGTGCAGCTCATGTGCCCAATTATATGTTTTATTTCTTTTTATATATTTTAAGACAACAGGTCCACGGACCACCACCTTAAAAAACACTGAAATATCACATTTACACACATTATATCTATATATATATAGACATACACACACACACAGTGGAACCTCTCATAACGAGCACCTCTCAAAACGAGTAATTCGCATAACGAGCAAAAACAAATGTGAAGAAGTTGCTCCCTTAACGAGCGACCGACATTTCGTATAACGAGTTACGCAGAAAGGGGAAGTCACTTTTTCACCTCACTTCTGCTTGGAAAAAAACTTTGTCCAGAGAGTGTTGTTGAATGTGATTGTGAAACAGCACCTGTGGAGTCTACAGTTAACGAGATTGTGTCATTGGCCAATATCATGGGACTCGAGGTAGACAACAACGATATTGAAGAGCTTGTGAAAGAGCACAGTCAAAAGTTGACCACCGAAGAGCTTATGGAGTTGCATCGTGTTTCACAGCAAGAAATTATGGAGGAGAGCTCATTAATGGAGGAGGAAGTAGCAGAGTAACAATCTTCTAGCGCAATAAGAGAAATGCTGAAAAGATGGGAAACGGTTGCATCGTACATTCAGAAGCATCACCCATTATAATAAGGAGGTGGCTATTTGTGCTACAAATTTATACAATGATAATGATGTGACACATTTTCGTCAAATTTTGAAGCGTCGGCAAAAACAAATGTCTTTAGACAGTTTTCTAGTTAAAAAGCATTACATAGTTGTCATAAATTCATATTTTTATTTACGTTTTTTGTTTCAAATCTAAATTGTATTCCAAGTCGTTACACTCAGTAGCAATTCATAGTAATTTTATTTAAATAAATGTTAATAATTTTTTTTTGAAAAATTTGTATTTTTTCAGCATGGAACGCACAATCGTATTTTACATTGATTTTTATGGGAACAATTATTTCGTTTAACGAGTGTTTGCTTAACGAGGAAGAGTCTGGAACGAATTAAACTCGTTATGAGAGGTTCCACTGTATACAATATATATATATATATATATATATATATATATATATATATATATATATAATATATACATATATATATGTATAATATACCATACTATACACTGTTCTATTTCCTCCAGGGTTTAAAGAGACCATCAACGTATCCCTCATGGGACTGGCCATCTCAGACCTCATGTCCCTGGTCACATCGCTATGGACGGCAATCTGCTGGACCCCGGCCATGTACTATGCCGAACTGCCCTTCGTCCCGCAGGACGTCGACTACATGACCGGAAGTTTGCCCCATCTGCTGTTCACCCGCGTCACCGGCTGGATCACCGCGTTCGTCGCCTGCGAGCGCTGCCTGTGCGTCACCGTGCCCCTGAAGGTCAAGGCCATCATCACCCCGAGGCTGGTCAAGAGGTTCGTCGTCCTCGCCTTCGTCGCGGTCACCGTCGCCCAGTCTCCCTCCTTCTACACCAGCAGCTTGGAGTGGGTGTTAGACGAGGGTCGGAACCGGACGGTCCTCGCGCGGGTCGTCCGAGCGATGAGCGAGGAGACGGACGCGGTCACCTACTCGGTCAACCTCGTGTCCCCGTTCGCGTCGTTCGCCCTCGTTCTCGCCAGCACCGTCGTCACCGCGGTTCAGCTCAAGCAGAAATCCCAGTGGAGGATGAAGTCTGCTTCCGCGGGAGGCGTCGTGATGCCGGCTTCCGGGTCAGGCGTCAAGGCCGCTCTCCCGGCGCCCAGCAAGGACCAGAAGGTCGTCAAAATGGTCGTGGTGTTATCGGTTGTGTTCATCGTCAGCTTCCTCCCGACCAACGTCATCCATATTTTCTACTGCACGATTGTCGACAGCCCTCATCTGCTGGCTGTCTACATTGTTTACATCAGCGTCACGTTCTCTTTCATCAAAGTCCTCGAGTGCTTCAACGCAAGCATCAGCATCGTGCTGTACTACTTGATGAGCTCCAAGTACAGGAGCAGCTTCGTGAAGCTTTTCAGATCGGTCAGCGGCGACAAACGAACATGACGTGTCAACGTGCTTCCAGCTTTGTTGCGTTAGGATTCCAGTAAAAGATCCACCGACAAGCTCAAAGGTGTCTGGCAATAGGTTTAGTATGACTCCTGCAGATGGCGCTTAATCGGAAAGTAATCCCAGCACACTCCGAATGTGATAAACCCCACCCCCCCCCGGGGCTTTCCACCCCCAAGCGATTCATGATTTGGTAGTGGTTCAGTTAATGATTGCTACCAACAAATTAAAAAAAAAAATAAATAAAAAAAACAACAAAAAAATTAAAAATAAAAACAAACACACCCCTCCTCCATTGTTTAAAATAAATAAAAATAAAGTGTGTTTTTTTGTAGATAAACAGCCATGTCCTCGATCCGCTTTGGTCTAGTTCGGGCGAACCGGTGGTTAATTTTTTTTTACTTTTCTATAGAACCAGTTGTTAAATATGTCAAAATAAAATAAATAAATATACATTGACTTTTTTCTATAACTGTTAAGTACTGAACCGGTTTAGTCAAATGCAGAACCGGTTGTTTCCAAATAAAGTACACGTTGTTGCCGAAGTACTGGACCGGTTTGTTTCTAAATACAGTAAACGTTGTTGCCGAAGTACTGGACCGGTTTGTTTCTAAATACAGTAAACGTTGTTGCCGAAGTACTGGTCCGGTTTGTTTCTAAATACAGTACACGTTGTTGCCGAAGTACTGGACCGGTTGTTGCTTGATTGACACCACACTGTTATGGATAACTATTGCGTCACTGGGGCAACACAATTAAAACAAAAAATATGAATTTAATAATGAATTAAAATCGGCCTCTCAGCCCAGCTATTTAAGCCCTACGGGGGACGAGCACACACAGTGCATCCCATCTCAACGCCCTAGGCATCTCAACGTTAACTGCCCTCTACGATCTCGAAGTGTTCAAATCCTTCAAGTCGTGGTATTTCAAATACTCACGCAGGACATCGGGGAATAACGAGACATCGGTTTAAAACCCACGATATCAAACCAGGGACGGACAGCACCCCCCCCCACACACCCACCCCCAGAGGCGTATCAGCGGAGAATGAATGGCAAATTTCGGGGCAAACACTTTATCAGCACACGGCATCACGTGACTCTCCATCACCGAGCCCATCATCGTATTAGATAAGGGGCCCTTGGGGAAAGGGTGGGGGGGGGGGGTGCACTCGAACGCCAACCTGGGTCCAGTGACAGGCCGGGATCTTCCCAGACGAGTGGTCATCGGCAATAATTGGATAGGGGACAGACTTGTTGGCAGGCGACCCCCTCAAGAACCCACTTGTGGGTCTCTTAATAGATTAACTGTAATTTGGAGATTGTGACGGCAAAAGTGTAAATAAAGAAGGGCAGATGTGCGGCAGCTATTAATGTTGTGACAGGGCCGCAACGCGCGTCAACGGACAACGTGTGACAACTGACTGCGTGTGTCAGCTTACATAGTGGGACAACTGACTGCGTGTATCAGCTTACATAGTGGGACAACTGACTACGTGTGTCAGTTTACATAGTGGGATCACCTTCAAGGTGTGACAGCCAAAAGAACGCGCCACAAATAACAACGTGTCACAAATAACAACGTGTCACAAATAACGAGGGTGTACAGACACTCACACGTTTCAACTGAAACGCGGCAACTAACAACGCGAGGCAACTAACAACGCGAGGCAACTAACAACGCGAGGCAACTAACAATGCGAGGCAACTGACAGCGTGAGACAACTGACAGCGCGAGGCAACTGACAGCGTGAGACAACTGACAGCGCGAGGCAACTGACAGCATGAGGCAACTGACAGCGTGAGACAACTGACAGCGCGAGGCAACTGACAGCGTGAGGCAACTAACTACGCGAGGCAAGGCAACTAACAGCGTGAGGCAACAGACAGCGCGAGGCAACTGACAGCATGAGGCAACTGACAGCGTGAGACAACTGACAGCGCGAGGCAACTGACAGCGTGAGGCAACTAACTACGCGAGGCAACTGACAGCGTGAGGCAACTAACAACGCGAGGCAACTGACAGCGTGAGACAACTTACAACATGACACTATATTGATCATTTTGTCTCCTATGGATGTAGAGGGGATTTGCAATGTTTCTGTGCCTGGTGTGGATGAGGATATTTCACTGGTTGCAAGGACCACTTGGTGAGGGCATCATGCACTGGGGGTTGGAATTATTATTGTTTAACGATCATTATTTGATGGATCCCAAGTTGAGCGTTTCCAAGGCTTAGCCGACGGTTATGATAGGTTTGGCTATTTGGCCTGACACACGCAGTCAGTTGTCACAGTTAGAAGAGTTCCATCAGTTCACGCACAGAGAAGCCAGAGTACGTTTGTTTGTCAGAGGTAGGATGTTTATCGTGCAACTCGACGAATGACATGACATTATCGCTGCCATCACCAAAAACCAAGTTCATACTACTGTGAAATGGCAACTTCGGTTAAGTTAGGCTGCTGTCAATCCCAGGACACAATCGCAGCGATCCCATTACAAATATTCAGTGCTTATCTTAACCAGGCTCAAGATCAACGGAGCAAATCAAAAAAAAAATTTTACCCATCAAAATGTGATAACATTGTTTTAGACCAGGTTGAAATCCACCGAGCCAAGAAATCATCTTTCATGACGAGATAGCAGTGGTTTACACAAGGTTGAGATCCACACAGCCAAGAAAAAAATTATCTCATGACGAGAAAGCAGTGGTTTACACATGGGGTTGAGATCCACATATAATCTTCATCAACTTCTCTGTTGCAAAACGTCCCCACACGGTAAGCCATCCCCAAAACAACACAAAGTCATCTTAACACAGCTGTTATTTGTTGCCCCGTTACAGCCGGGCAAACGCACACAAAGATACCAATCAAAGGCAGATCCCCGTTAACAATTAAAGCGGTGCCCCAGAACAAATCTGATCAGCCCGGGGATCTCGCAGTGGTGGGCATTGGCGCCAGACGCGAGGAAGAGGGCTCAACAAATGAGAGTGGTACATCATTTGGCGTTGTCATGTAACAGCGTCAATGCTAAAGCTACGTTAGCGGTCCGAAATGTATCATTAGCTTCAGGTGGTCACTATAATGTTACAATTTTCTTAGATGTTAAGTGAAATATAAGAGTTAGCGTGTTGATATTTGACTTAAATGATGGAAATAGGGGGGGGGGGTCCATTATTATTTACACGTATCCGTATGTAAATATTGTTCTATTTCTTAATGTGTAACCAGCGTGTTATAATAACCGCTCATAATACTACACGGGTCCTTCGAGTGGGTAGGCGTTCGAGACTTAAAACAATGAAATAACGAAATGACGGCGAAACTCCTGTAAAAATTAAGCGTTTTGAACCAGTTTAATCAAACATTGGCTTGCTGAAACAAATGTTCGCTTTAACATAAACAAGACAGCTACTACCGAAAAGAACCACAAGACGGCCACTAACGAAAAGAACATAACAGCCTCTACCGAAAAGAACCACAAAACGGCTTCTAATGAAAAGAACCACAAGACGGCCAATACAAAACAGAACCAGCAGATGGCCACTACCAAAAAGAACCACCCACAAGACGGCTACTACCGAAAATAACCACATGACGACTACTACAGAATAGAACCATCGCACCGTGGCCGCCAATGATAATAAAGGGACGCCACTTGCAATCCTGGCCTTACGTTTACCCCCCCCCCCTCTCCGAAAAAAAAACCACCAAAAAAAAAACCAAAAAACTTCCGGTGAGCACCTCTCAGGTGCTCCACATTGAATAATGCCACCGTTTAAACGAAATAAAAAAAAAGAAGACAAAAAAGGCCACTTCCTGTAAAAATCTCCCTCTTTGCAATCTTCGCCACGGCCAAGTCAAACCAACATCAATGGAGTGACACAGTCATTTATCTGCCCCGATAGAATACAACTTGGCGTCTGGATTGAAAGCAGAAATCTGGCTCATCTATGCCACGGCATTCACGTCTCGCCAGATTGGCAACTCTGTTTTTTTTCTCCCCCCTCCTGCGACCGGAAGTAGAGCCGCGGGGTGGCGCTGGCGACCAGGCCAATGAATTCCTCCCCGAATTTGATTGGGAATAAAAAAAAAAAATAAATATGTATAAGGGCAGCGCCTATGATGAAGTCGTGAATATTTATGAGAGAGCCGCTTGTTACATTAGGGCTACGTGCAGGGATGGTGGGTGGGCTGAAATCTGTACCAGTAGCCAAGAGGAGCTGGTTAATAACAGAGTGACATTCTGAGAACTAACGCAAAAGGTTGTACAGATTGATACTGCAGGGGCAACAAAGCACTTGTAACGATTTGTATTGAAACACATTTTGAACAAAGCATAATTTTAATAATTTGAGTTAATTTTCTTGTTTGTTTGTTGTTAAACAAATCACGATGAAGTACCAATAAAACCGTGTCAAAAATGCACTTGACACCATGTCGCAAGACGTAGAAAAAAGAGGGGGGGGGGGTGATACAATGACTGGCTGGAATTACTTCAAATAACCGAATGAAGGCTTTTTGTGTGTGTGTGTGGTTTTCACGACCGCCTACCCAAAACATTACTTACTTACTATCTTGTTTGTTTGTTGTTAAACAAATCACGATGAAGTACCAATAAAACCGTGTCAAAAAGGCAGTTGACACCATGTCGCAAGAGGTAGAAAAAGGAGGGGGGGGGGGTGATACAATGACTGGCTGGAATTACTTCAAATAACCGAATGAAGGCTTTTTGTGTGTGTGTGTGTGTTTCACGACCGCCTACCCAAAACATTACTTACGTACTCTATGTACTAATATATATTAAGTTTGCAAATCACATTAACTATCAAACAATAATAGAAAGGTAAATGCGCACAGTGTCTACCATTGACATACATTTATATTTAGTGGGCACAGTGCATGAGTCACACCTGAAGAAGAAAAGGAAATGTACAACATGTTAAACAGAATTATTTTTATTTTGAGGATGTCACATCCTCGACAGTACGGT